CTCCTTTCAGCCTTCCCTACTCTACAGGCTGACTTGGCAGAAATTCATTTTTTTTGTTTCATAAAACTGATGTTTCTTTTTAAGCATTTTCTTCTATTTCTAAACCATTTCAATTTTCCTGGTTGCGCAAAATTATGGGGTTTAAGCTTTGGTTTTTATCCATTTAAATGTTCACAATTGCAGGAAATTATCAGGGCGGGGGTCAGAGAGTACTTATTTAATGAGGTAGATGCTGGGATTGAAAAGGTTAAAGCTTTATAGCCGTTAAAACCACAAATTGTCAACATTGCGCGTCAGAATATACAACATATAAATATTCTTAACTCAAACTCTGATAAGTTCTCAGTTTTATGAAACAAAAAAAATAGAATTTCTGCCAAGTCAGCCTGTAGAGTAGGGAAGGCTGAAAGAATTGGGTTTGTTTAGTTTGGAAAAGAGAAGACTGAGAGGGGACATGATAGCAGTTTTCAGGTATCTAAAAGGGTGTCATAAGGAGGAGGGAGAAAACTTGTTCACCTTAGCCTCTAAGGATAGAACAAGAGAAGCAATGGGTTCATTTTTCTCACTTTGCCTATGTGTAAATTTCGATTGTTATCGATGGAAATATTTTTCATGGGTTTGTTTGCGTGTGTTCAGTGAAATTGACGGGTACTGACCTTTACCGATAAAAATCGAATCCTTCCAACCTGATTTACAAGGGTGTGGTACATCTGCATCGGGTGATTTTCACCAGATCCATACACCTCACTATGCTAGTGCCAATTACTCTACCATAGCCAGGGCCTTGTGTTCCATGGACCTCGGAGTCCCTGTCATTCATCTCACCTCTGACTCTGGGTGCAGTGCTTCTCTGCCCAGGAAAATTCCAATCAACAGGGTACCTTTCGCCCAAGCGATTTCCACAACAGTGAGATAGAGTATATGTATGCTGCACACAGGTGTGACGGCAGTCTATGTAGATATACCAGAGCTATTCATCTAGCTATCTTGAATAACAATAGCAGTGAAGTCCAGACAGCACCGGCTGACCAAGCCTGCCTGGGACCCTGGCTCTGCTCAGGTGGCTAGCGGAGACATGGGGATGCACATGTGTGATGAGCCTTGGAGGCCACTAGATGTCACAGTTACCCCACACAAGTTTGAAATGCAACCCTAAGGCTATCAGGGGCATGACCTGATTTTAAAATCACTGACCTGCACTGTGTTTTTTTTACCTCATAAACTGCCTTATCCCACGTGTGGGCAAATTCAATCATGCATTAGTTGGCCACTGTCAGGGGTTAGGAAGAGATTTATTCCATAATCATCTGTTGCAGGGTTTCTTGCATCTTGTTCTGAAGTATTTGGTACTGGTGCACTGTCAGAGACAGGATACTGGGTTAGGTGGGGCATGGATCTGATCCTGCATAGCAGTTATGATGTTCCTGGCCCTCCCTCTTCTCCAAAAAAAAATCACAGCTGAGGCAGGGAAGAGGCTTAATTCTTCATCTGAACAAAACTTTTTGCAGCTGAACATTTCAGGAAAGATCCTGTGACATTTAGAAATATCCAGCCCTGTATAAAATATTTACAAAGCTCATGGAGTGATTTTATACGTGGTAAGCACTGAGGAGCTGTTTTAGAGACCCCAGACAACTGGGAATCTCTTGGTTTCTGGGATCTGTCTTAGCCTTTTGGTCAGAACTTTAAAAAAGTGTTTTCTCTACTTCTGTAAACCAAACCAGTTCTCTGCGATGGTTTCCCACTTCTTGAGCTGCCTGGTGGCCAGTGGAGAAGTTGAATCAGCACAGCAGGCTCTAGGTGGTAGTACTGTAGTTGTTGGATTGTCTCCTCCTCTCCATGTACAGCCAGTCTAGTCCCATCCATAAGCTAGTCAGAAAAGAAGGTTTGGGGGTCATCCCCATGCTGCGGTGATAGGTCTCCCCCAGCCTGAACAAGCTGGTGCACCACATGGGATGGACCAAAGTGGGTGTCATGGGAGGGAGGATGTCGGCTGTGGGAGGAGGAGAAAGAGAAAGTTTGCAGGTTGGGGCTCAGGTATCAGAAATGTGGTATGCTTGAAAGTGAGGTGACCCTTATCTCACCAGGCCCCCAAAATCCATCCTGCTATTAACCACTGACAGCATGGTACATCAGGATTCCTGCTTGACAGCCTGGATTTGACGTGTAGAAATCTGATCATTTAATAAACTGACCTCACCCCTTAATGCCATTGAGTGCTTAGACCACGATGTAGCCACGTGAACATGCGAATCAGCTCTGATTTTAGTTTATTTAATTTATCCTGTAGTAAGGTGACCACCTTGCTGGATGGAAATAAGGGAAAACCACATGAAAAATAAGGGACACCACTTTATTTTAGGGGACATTTTAGGTAAATACTACTTCCCTTAGCATATCATGAATTTTCTCTCACGTGTACATTTCCTCTGCCCCCATGTATACTATTCAATTATCACAAGCTTCAATTTAACATTTAAAATGGACAAGGGATGTCCCTTAAAATAAAGGACAGCTAGTCACCCTATCCAGTATGTAGAATCACACTCGCATTTAGGTACCACAGGTCCAATCCAACTTGCATGGAAGTTTTCCCATTGACTTTAATAGAAGCTGGACAGGGCCTCACTTCTATTTATTATTTGCAGTGTTGTTGGAGCCATGTTGGTAAGGTAATATCTTTTACTGGACTGACTTCTGTTGGTGAAAGACAAGATTTCAAGCTTACCATAAATATTTATTAACCATAGAGTATATTCCCAGTACAAAAATCAGTTCAAGCAAATTCCATTTTATTCTCGTATCAGAGGGGTAGCCGTGTTAGTCTGAATCTGTAAAAAGCAACAGAGGGTCCTGTGGCACCTTTGAGACTAACAGAAGTACTGGGAGCATAAGCTTTCGTGGGTAAGAACCTCACTTGCATCTGAAGAAGTGAGGTTCTTACCCACGAAAGCTTATGCTCCCACATTTTATTCTCCAATATCCAAATAATCACTACAACCAGATCCACGAAACAGTGAACTATTCACATCATCTTACATATACTGTGCAGATTCTAGCAGTCATTGTACAGATGAACTGCAAATGAAAAAAATTGTATACTTTATGGTTGTGTAAAGACAGCCTCAAAGTTTGCTTTATTCCACACTGAAGTTTCTTCTGCTTCCTTTTTACATTAAATATAAATGATCAAAGTCTACAATTGTCTCTGTTGGTCCTCCAGCACTTAAATCAAACTATATGACTGTATAAACATGTAGCGCTGCTAATGGCCACTAGATATCACCAGTGCTGTACCACTTGCAGTACAGAAATGAGATTCAAACAGCCAGAACCGTTAAAAGGAAATATGTTACATACTAATGTTGAAATAAAGTTTAAAGGCAGCACAATATTTTACATGGCAAAAATAACCATATACTTTCTACACAGTAATTGTTAAACCCATAAGCTCATGATATCTAAGGAGCTCTGTCATTACAGGATCACTCTTGCCGGTTGTGTTATAAAATGGGAATTACGACGAGGTGCATATTATTATAAAGAAAGGGTTTACAATGCATTTTACTGCATAATAAAATTAACATAATGATAGTATTTAATGTATTGCCTATCATCTGAAGAAGCTAAAATGGCTTCACAATTGCTCTGCCTACAATCCCACTGCAACACAGCCACCTTAGGGGTGTAGTGAGGTATCCAGCTAGCCTGGAACAGTGGGGAGAAGGGAAATTTTGCCTAAGGGTGATGCATGCCCACTTGGCTGATACAGCAGGGACTGAATTCAGGATTGTCCAGTGCTAAAAGCCTGGTCTATATGTCAAAGTTTTGCTGGCATAACTATGTCAGCTAGGAGTGTGAAAAAAAATCACCCCCGCCCCTCCAAACATAGCTCTGCCAGAAAAACCCGAGCGTAGACAGTTACCCCAGCAAAAAAAGTCCTTTTGCTGGTATTGCTTATTTCATTTGGGGACCTGGTATAAGCTGCTGGCAGAAGCACCCTTTGGCCAGAATAAACTGCGTCTTCACTAGGAGGGTTTGCTGCTATAGTGTTACCGGTATAACTAGACTTTCGAATGTAGACAAAGCCTGAGTCTTTACAGCCTGAGCTATAGAGCCATGCTCTGTAGGGGAGTTGGAACATCTCCACATCTT